GACCAGAATAACCCAGAAGAGCTACAGTTTAGGCATTTTTGGCATCTAGCCATTACAATTGGGTCTTTGTCAGATCTTTTATGGCTGATCAGTGTATGGTCATGGCTATATTTGGACAATAACGTCAACCAGCATCCCTGCCGCCGGCATCATAGCAACCTACTTGACCCTGAGCAGAGACTGTCACTTTAATGACAGCTTCCCAGCACATATGATCAACTCAAGAGTTGGTGTTAATTACCACGGTGGCAAAAATGCACAAAAAAAGGGAATGTGCATTCCTGCCATGTGAAGCGTAAAATGGGCCTAAAAGTGTCAGTTAATAAGAAGTACCTTAACCTGGTGCATGTGCCAGTACTGGTACAGAATCTGCACAGATTTCATGAATTAGGGGCAGACCAGGCAAAGGGGCCATACCACCAGAAAAGTGTCCCTATTGCTTTACACATCAACCCTCCCCCATAAATGTTCTACTCACTCAGAACCTAGGAGTTTTTCATACAATCAGCACATCCAAAAGCAAACAGAATTTTTGTTGTAGTCATTTTATTTTTGCTTTCCAATGTGAATTACAGCTATAAGATGATCAGCCTTCTACATAAAAATAATTGCAGAAAGCAAAATGTAAAAGTGCAATACCTAGAGCATCCTATCAGAATTCATTTTATACTGAGCATACAAAGTGCATTGTGATTGGTTGCTATGGTTTAACATATAACCAGTAGTAACAATAAATAAGTTTTGTATAAATAAGAGTTAAAATACATCAAGCTAAATGTTGTGCTGCATCTGCCTAGGAGAACATCATATGGAATCGTCAATAGACCAGACCGGGGGCACCATTCCAAAGTGAACAGATGCCAGGTCCTTTTACCATATAAACAAAACAAATAATTGTTGTAGGAAACATGAGTCAGCAAATGAGAACTGTCTGGAGTACAAAATCCATTCCGGTTGTCAGTGATATGCATTGCACAACATTACGAAAAGTACACATCGATCAAAATACATATTGGGCCCTGAAATGCATACAAGGACCAACGATTTACCTGCCCAAGGATGCCATCATTCAACCACAGATGCCAGTGCTGTGTCAGGCTAGCCTTCCATGAAAAACTGTTACATATTCTTGTGTCTTGGAACATTCTGATGGCGTTCTAAAGTGCGTCGGAAGGCGTTGGACATCGGATTGGTGTGGATCTACATTGCTGGATGATGTGACTCAATGAGGAATGTACATTGTGGGACATTTTTTGGAATTTCTTGTTTTTAATTAAGAACTTGTCAAACATTGTACACTCTATTATTTTGAGAATGAGTCAAGGGTACTATGTATCCCTGGATCATTCACATGAGTAGACTTGTGGTAGAAGGAGGAGTTGGGGAGAAGAGGATTTATGCTGGGATGGGGGATTTGGGGGGGAGGTGAGAGGACTTGTAGTAGAAGGGGGATTTGGGGAGAGGAGGATTTATGCTGGGACAGGGGATTATGGAGGAAGGTGAGCGGATTTATGGTAGAAGGAGGGGTTGGGGAGAGGAGGATTTATTCTCAGAGGGGGTTTGGGGGGAAGTTAGGAGGACTTGTGGTAGAAGAAGGGGTTGGGAAGAGGAGGATTTATGCTGGGACAGGGATTTTGGGGGGAAGGTGAGAGGACTTGTGGTAGAAGAAGGGAGGAGAAGAGGATTTATGCTGGGTCAGGGGATTTGGGGGAAGGAGAGAGGACTTGTGGTAGTTAAAGGGTTGGGGAGAAGAGGATTTTATGCTGGGACAGGGGATTTGGGGGGAAGGTGAGAGGACTTGTGATAGAAGAAAGGGTTGGGGAGAGGAGGATTTATGCTGGGACAGGGGATTTGGGGGGAAGGTGAGAGGGCTTGTGGTAGAAGAAGGGGTTGGGGAGAGGAGGATTTATGCTGGGACAGGGGATTTGGGGGGAAGGTGAGAGGGCTTGTGGTAGAAGAAGGGGTTGGGGAGAGGAGGATTTATGCTGGGACAGGGGATTTGGGAGGATGGTAGGAGAACTTGTGGTAGAAGAAGGGGCTGGGGAGAAGAGGATTTATGCTGGGACAGGGGATTTGGGAGGAAGGGTGAGAGGACTTGTGGTAGAAAAAGATTTGGGGAGAGGAGGATTTATGCTGGGACAGGGGATTTGGGGGGAAGGTGAAAGGACTTGTGGTAGAAGGAGGGGTGGGGGGAGAGGAGGATTTATGCTGGGACAGGGGATTGGGGGTAAGGCGAGAGGACTTGTGGTAGGAGGGGTTGAGAGAGGAGGATTTATGCTGGGACAGGGGATTTTGGGGGAAAGGTGAGAGGACTTGTGATAGAAGAAAGGGTTGGGGAGAGGAGGATTTATGCTGGGACAGGGGATTTGGGAGGAAGGTAGGGGGACTTGTGGTAGAAGAGGGATTTGGGGAGAGGAGGATTTTTGCTGGGACAGGGGATTTGGGAGGAAGGTGAGAGGACTTGTGGTAGATAAAGGGGTTGGGGAGAAGAGGATTTATGCTCAGAGAGGGGATTTGGGGGGAAGGTGAGAGAACTTGTGATAGAAGAAAGGGTTGGAGAGAAGAGGATTTATGCTAGGACAGGGGATTTGGGGGGAAGGTGAGAGGACTTGTGGTAGAAGGAGGAGTTGTGGAGAGGAGGATTTATGCTGGGACAGAGAGATTTCGGAGGAAGGTGAGCAGACTTATGGAAGGAGGGGTTGGGGATGAGGAGAATTTATGCTGGGACAGGGGATTTGGGGGAATGAAGGTGAGAGGACTTTTGGTAGAAGGAGACATTGGGGAGAGAAGGATTTATGCTGGGACAGGGGATTTGGTGGGAAGGGACAGGGAATTTGGGGGGAGGTGAAAAGACTTGTGGTAGAAGGAGGGGTAGGGGGAGAGGAGGATTTATGCTGGGACAGGGAATTTGAGGGGAAGGTGAGAGGACTTGTGGTCGGAGGGTTTGGGAGAGGAGGATTTATGCTGGGACAGGGGATTTGGGGGGAAGGTGAAAGGACTTGTGGTAGAAGGAGGGGTAGGGGGAGAGGAGGATTTATGCTGGGACAGGGAATTTGAGGGGAAGGTGAGAGGACTTGTGGTCGGAGGGTTTGGGAGAGGAGGATTTATGCTGGGACAGGGGATTTGGGGGGAAGGTGAAAGGACTTGTGGTAGAAGGAGGGGTAGGGGGAGAGGAGGATTTATGCTGGGACAGGGGATTTGGGGGGAAGGTGAGAGGACTTGTGATAGAAGAAAGGGTTGGGGATCAGATATGTGATTAACAATGTAATTTATTAACACTAACAATACAAACATAAACACAGTGCAATACTAAACATAATACAGTGCAAACAAACCCAACCAACCACCCACAGATAACAGTACATACAAGCAAGCGTCGTCAGGCAGGCCGAGTCAATATCAATTGGGCAGGTAGGTACAGGGGGAGCAAGCGGAGAATGGTCGGGGTCACAGGCCAGGTTCAGCAGGTAGCAAGCAGCGTAGTACAGAGGGTCAGGCAGAGGGATGGTCAGGGTCACAAGCCAGGGATCAGAAGGTAGCAAGCAGCGTAGTACAGAGGGTCAGGCAGGGAGGGATGGTCAGGGTCACAAGCCAGGGATCAGAACAGGTAGCAAAGGAACAGAAACAGGATGCAGGACAGATACAGGGCCCAGGACAAACACAACACCAAGGCAGAGTCTGCAAGTCTGGCCATCCCTTAAATACACCAGTATCATCAGTTCCAGGTGTTAGCTGGCTGAAAGGTTGAGTCTCTGATTGCTGGGAGCACCCGCTGGCCAGCCCTGGTACTGCAGATCAAAAGGCAGGTGAGTCCCACCATTGCTGGCCAGTCCATTCCTGACAGTACCCCCCCCTCAAGGAGCGGCCTCAGGACGCTCCAAACAGTCCTAGCTGGGAAAAATGTTCCACCGCCCGGGTCTGGTAACTGGCGGGATATCAAAGACTGGCACACCGGGCAGGACTCCGGGCAGCGGTACACCGGGCAGAGGCACATCGGGCTGGACTCCGGGCAGAGGCACACCGGGCAGAGCCACACCGGGCAGAGGCACATCGGGGGCTGGACTCCGGGCAGAGGCACATCGGGCTGGACTCCGGGCAGAGGCACATCGGGCTGGACTCCGGGGCAGAGGCACATCGGGCTGGACTCCGGGCAGAGGCACATCGGGCTGGACTCCGGGCAGAGGCACATCGGGCTGGACTCCGGGCAGAGGCACATCGGGCTGGACTCCGGGCAGAGGCACATCGGGCTGGACTCCGGGCAGAGGCAGGCACATCGGGCAGAGGACATCGGGCAGGGCACATCGGGCTGGACTCCGGGCAGGGAGCGGCATCGGGCTCGGGACTCCGGGCAGAGGCACATCGGGCAGGACCCCGGGCAGAGGCACATCGGGCCGGGCAGAGGGACCCCGGGCGGAGGCACATCGGGCTACCGGGGGAAGCGGCAGGCAGCGGGCCCCCAGGGTGGAGCGACAGGCACCGGGCCCCCGGGCGGAGCGACAGGCACCGGGCCCCCGGGCGGGGCGACAGGCCTCGGGCCCCCGGGCGGGGCGACAGGCCTCGGGCCCCCGGGCGGGGCGACAGGCCTCGGGCCCCCGGGCGGGGCGACAGGCCTCGGGCCCCCGGGCGGGGCGACAGGCCTCGGGCCCCCAGGCGGGGCGACAGGGCGGCCCCCAGGCGGGGGCGACAGGCATCGGGCTCGGCCCCCAGGCGGGGCGACAGGTCTCGGGCCCCAGGCGGAGCGGCGGGGCATCGGACCCCCAGGCGGGGCGACAGGCCTCGGGCCCCCAGGCGGGGCGACAGGCATCGGACCCCCAGGCGGGGCGACAGGCATCGGCCCCCAGGCGGGGCGACAGGCATCGGGCCCCCAGGCGGGGCGGCAGGCATCGGACCCCCAGGCGGAGCTACAGGTCTCGGGCCCCAGGCGGAGCGGCGGGCGCCGGACCCCCAGGTGGAGCGACAGGTCTCGGGCCCTCAGGCGGAGCGGCGGGCGCCGGACCCCCAGGTGGAGCGACAGGTCTCGGGCCCCCAGGCGGGGGGAGCGACAGGTCTCGGGCCCTCAGGCGGAGCGGCGGGCGCCGGACCCCCAGGTGGAGCGACAGGTCTCGGGCCCTCAGGCGGAGCGGCGGGCGCCGGACCCCCAGGTGGAGCGACAGGTCTCGGGCCCTCAGGGGCCCTCAGGCGGAGCGGCGGGCGCCGGACCCCCAGGTGGAGCGACAGGTCTCGGGCCCTCAGGCGGAGCGGCGGGCGCCGGACCCCCAGGCGGTGCGACAGGTCTCGGGCCCTCAGGCGGAGCGACAGGTCTCGGGCCCCCAGGCGGGGGCGGCGGGCGCCGGACCCCCAGGTGGAGCGGCGGGCGCTGGACCCCCAGGCGGAGCGACAGGTCTCGGGCCCCCAGGCGGAGCAGCGGGCACCGAGTCACCAGGCACGACAGTGGGCTCCGAGTCAACTGGCATGACCGCTGGCACTAGGGTCAGACATTGGATCGTCTGGCTGGACAGCGGGCATCGGGTCACCAGGCATCAGGTCATTTGGCTCGACAGCGGGCACCGCGTCATCTGGCAAGGCAGTGGGCTCCGAGTCAACTGGTATGACCGCGGGCACTGGGTCAGACATTGGATCGTCTGACCGGACAGCGGGCATCGGGTCACCAGGCATCAGGTCATTTGGCTCGACCGCGGGCACCGCGTCATCTGGCAAGGCAGTGGGCTCCGAGTCAACTGGTATGACCGCGGGCACTGGGTCAGACATTGGATCGTCTGACTGGACAGCGGGCATCGGGGTCACCAGGCATCAAGTCATTTGGCTTGACAGCGAGCACCGCGTCATCTGGCAAGGCAGTGGGTTCCGAGTCAACTGGCATGACCGCGGGCACTGGGGCAGACATTGAATCGTCTGGCTGGACAGCGGGCATCGGGTCACCAGGCATCAGGTCATTTGGCTCGACAGCGGGCACCGCGTCATCTGGCAAGGCAGTGGGCTCCGAGTCAACAGGCACGACAGTGGGCACCGGGTCATCAGGTACCGGATTGTCTGGCTCGACAGCAGGCATCGGGTCACCAGGTATGACAGCGGGCACTGGGTCACCAGGCATCAGGTCATTTGGCTTGCCAGCGGGCACCGCGTCATCTGGCAAGGCAGTGGGCACCGGGTCACCAGGCATTGGATCGTCTGGCTCGACAGCGGGCATCGGGTCACCAGGTATGACAGCGGGCACTGGGTCACCAGGCATCAGGTCATTTGGCTCGCCAGCGGGCACCGCGTCATCTGGCAAGGCAGTGGGCACCGAGTCACCAGGTACGACAGCGGGCTCTGAGTCAATTGGCACGACAGCGGGCACCGGATCAGGTACCGGATCATCTGGATCAACAGCGGGCATCGAGTCAACTGGCCTAATAGGATCGTCAGGCTGGATCAGTTCATCATGCTGGGTAGAGGCATCAGGCTGAATGCCGGCGTCCGGCTGAGTAGAGGCTTCAGGCCGAGTAGAGGCTTCAGGCCGAGTAGAGGCTTCAGGCCGAGTAGAGGCTTCAGGCCGAGTAGAGGCTCAGGCCGAGTAGAGGCTTCAGGCCGAGTAGAGGCTTCAGGCCGAGTAGAGGCATCAGGCCGAGTAGAGGCTTCAGGCAGTAGAGGCATCAAGTAGAGGCATCAGGCTGCATACAGGCATCAGGCTGAAGAGAGGCATCAGGCTGAAGTAGAGGCATCAGGCTGAAGTAGAGGCATCAGGCTGAGTACAGGCATCAGGCCGAGTACAGGCATCAGGCTGCGAGTACAGGCATCAGGCTGAGTAGAGGCTTCAGGCTGAGTAGAGGCTTCAGGCTGAGTAGAGGCTTCAGGCTGAGTAGAGGCTTCAGGCTGAACCACGGAAGGCAGGCTCACCGGTTTGGATACTGGCAGGATGGTATTGGTTGGAAAGAATTTTCGCTTTTTTCTGGTTTTAACTACTGGAGCACTGCAAGTAAACGCAGGTCTGCAAACGAATGGAGCAGCTGGAGACAGAGAAGAACTGGAGGATGGAACAGGAGAGGGAGCAGTTGCTACAGAGGGCTTTTTTACAGGGTTAAAGGCAGGATAGGTGCAGCGAGTGGGAACAGGGTACTGACATGCGGTAGATAGCCAAGTATACTGGGCTGTAACTGGAGGAGCTGTTGGGAATACAGAGGAGTAGAGTTAGAAGCAGGACTGGGTTTTTGTAAGCTGACTGAGGCTGGGTGCAACAAGTCTGTCCATGTCTGCAGTATGGGTTGAACAAAGCTGAGCTTACACAAAGCCTGTCTGGTCAATGACTGCACTGCGTTTATACAATCTCTTAGTGTCTGTGGTGAACATGTGGAATAACGCTCCAGAAAGTAACCCACATCATCCTCTAATAACCACACCAGGGACTCTACCTGGTCTGCACTAAATGGTGGCAAAAATTCATCCCTGCATTCGGGGGTACCAGATGAAACCAACTCTGCACAAACCTCAATCAAAGGCTGCACCTCAGAGAACTCTGTGCCCTGATCTACTAGAACATGAGCGAGCCGTATACATTCTAGCAGTTCATCCCGGGTATACTCCTTCAGAGTTTGATAAGCATACTCCCTGTCATCAAACACTAGCAGATATAAATACACAACCTCATCCAGATCCATCCTTCCCATCAACAAGCCAAGATGGCTTCCCTGTGCAGCCACTTCTGGTCAGGATTGGCCTTGGTGTAATGTCAGGGCTCCCAGGTATGACCAGAGGTGTGTGACTGAAGCAGGGAAACGCAGACTTCAGATATGTGATTAACAATGTAATTTATTAACACTAACAATACAAACATAAACGCAGTGCAATACTAAACATAATACAGTGCAAACAAACCCAACCAACCACCCACAGATAACAGTACATACAAGAAAGCGTCGTCAGGCAGGCCGAGTCAATATCAATTGGGCAGGTAGGTACAGGGGGAGCAAGCGGAGAATGGTCGGGGTCACAGGCCAGGTTCAGCAGGTAGCAAGCAGCGTAGTACAGAGGGTCAGGCAGAGGGATGGTCAGGGTCACAAGCCAGGGATCAGAACAGCGTAGTAGAGGGTCAAGAGGGAACAGAAACAGGATGCAGGACAGATCAGTTCCAGGTGTTAGCTGGCTGAAAGGTTGAGTCTCTGATTGCTGGGAGCACCCGCTGGCCAGCCCTGGTACTGCAGATCAAAAGGCAGGTGAGTCCCACCATTGCTGGCCAGTCCATTCCTGACAGGAGAATTTATGTTTGGAGGGGGGATTTGTGCTGGGAGGAAGAATTTAGATGTGTGCGTGGGAGGAATAAGATGATCTGTGCTTGAAGAAATTGGGCAAAGGGGGAGTATTTGTGCTGAAGGGATGATTTGGAGGAGAATTGGATATGCACAAGAAGGGGGGAGTAGGGTCAGAGTGAGGATTTATGCTAGCCTAGGGAGATTTGGAGAGGAAAATTATTTATAGTAGAAGAAGGATGAGGTGATTGGGAATTTATGTAGGGAGGAAAAGAGGATATATATTAGGTAGGGGATGGGGGAGAATTGTGCTTGGGGGGAAAATTGGAAGAGGGTTTTGCCAGGAAGGGGGATTTGGAGGTGTGGAAAAGAATTTGTGCTGGGAGCGTAGACTCCAGTGGGGAGGAATACATGGAGGGTAAAGGGATCTGTGGGCAATTTGGGGTTGGGGGGGATTGTCATGCAGGGATTGAGATGGAGAAGATCCATGCTAGAAGGAGGGAGAAGATTGGTGCAGAATACCACCTCCTAGCACAAATCCTCTCCCCCCTTCTAGCATGGATCTTCTCCATCCTGATTACTGCAGCACAAACTCCCCCCCCCCCCCACTTCCAAATACCCACAGATCTTCTACCCCTCCAAATAATAGAGGAGCTATTATAACGCCAATATGTATTTTAATTCATGATAATTTACTTCTAAAAATGTTCAATTCAAAAACATAAATGTGCAATCCTAAATTTTTTGTGAAGTGAACATTAATAGTTATTTGATCATGTCATGTCAAATGGCTTGTTTTCCTTCTCCCCATAGACAACTATCAAAGCTCCCAGGCATCACGCCCCTGAAGTTGTTGTTTTTAAGTGATGATAACCTGGGTGGTAATCTTTGTGAATTGATGTTTATGTTGATTTTATCACATGGAATGATAAAGTAACCCACACAGTGGGTAGTGATAAATAAAAATGGGCAAAAATAAAAACAAGTTTTAAAAATGCCAGCAATTCTTCACCCAAATTTCAAATTATTAAAAATAATAACTTTGGGAAAATTAATTTTAAAAAAAATGCATATAAAAATACAAACATAAAATATGGCCATTACTATTTTTGATAAAAAAAAAACACATTGGGGTCAATTCAAAATTTTTTTCAAAATTTCTGTTCTTTTTTTGTTTCTATTACATAAAATAAAAAACCCAGTGGTGATCAAATACCACCAGAAGAAAGCTCTATATGTGTGAATAGCAAAAAATGACCTGTTCAGGAAAGGGTGGGGGTAAATCTTCTGGAGAGCAAGTGGACTTAATAATAATAATTATGGACACATTGTTTGAGAACTGAGTTGCACAATATTTCATAAGTAAATATTTAGTTGATACGTTTACATGGTATTATTTTAAGGGTTCATGTACACTGCAGCTGATAAACTGACATTCAGGAGCTGTTCTGCGTTTTTTTCAGCAGCCCCTGATCTCTCCCTAATGATTTCCTATGTGTTCATGTACACATAGTCGTTTACAGTCATTTACAAGCAGTTGAGTTTACAGTCGTTTTTTTGAACGCACCAAACTTGCGTTCAGGAGTAGATTGTATCAGCGTTTCAAACTCCAAATGCTTGTAATCGCGTGTAAACGCGGCTAAACACGTTTATAAGCATTTACTTTTAGAAGTGTTTTTTGACTGGTCCATATCCAGGGCACAATTCACCCGAATATGCAGTAGGATACCACGTAGCATTTAAAAAAAAAAAACCCATTTGAATCCACAAAAAAAGGCTACTAAAATACTGCATGATTTTATCAAGTCATGCGGAATTTTAGTAGTGAAAAGCATCCATCATGTTTCAGTTGTCAGCGTGGTTCCTACTGATAGCTGAATGTAAAAGAAAGAATTGCCGGCCTTTAAAAAAAAATTTAAAAAAACGTTGTGGGGTCCCCCCTCCCATCCATACCAAACCCTTCAGGTCTGGTATGGATTTTGAGGGGAAGCCCCATGCCGAAATTTAAAAAAAAAATGGCGTGGGGTCCCCCCCCAAAATCCATACCAGACCCTTATATGAGCATTCAGCCCAGCAGGTCAGAAAAGAGGGGGGGGGAGCAAGCTTATTAGCTGCAGTGTACATGAACCCTTAAAATAATACCATATAAAACGTAACAAAATATTTACTTTTGAAATATTGTGCAACCTTGGGCGTTGGTTGTAGGAGTCTGCGGGTGGAGAGCTTTTCGGAATCTGGAAGCCAGATCCTGGCCCCCTCCACGTGAATGAGTATGGTGGTCATGGTACCGCTACCCATTTCACAAAAAAAAAGCTGTAGTGTGAAAAAATACAGGAGTCATTCTTTGACAAGTCCTCTAATAAAAGAAATAGATCCAATGTCAATCACGATGTCCGCAACCGCTCCGAAGAAGAAAAAAAAAAGGCTCCGATACTGACTCTGGCCCCCCAGCCATCTGCTCAGAAGCTGGCTTGACAGCCTACTGTATGTGTCCATGTACACATAAGCTTTTAGCAGAGTTTAGGAGCTGCCGCGTTTAGGTGAGGTTAAACATCCCTCTCCTGAACGTGGAAGAATCGCGTTCAGGATAGGAATCTTTTGACCATCAACCTTGGAAAACCCAAAATGTGGCAAAATCGCAGTACCACGGTTGCCGCGTTTTGTCACGATTGGTGGTTTCCCCGCGGCCAGCGGTCAGGGTAGGCTCGTGTACATGGAGCCTAACACTTTTTTGTTTTAGATGTTTAACACTTGAAACTTTGAGCCCAGTCGTACACATATTTCTTTCTTTGCACACTCAGTGAGTCTAGTGCCCGCAGCTGCATTTTTTTGGCTTATGACCTTTGACATGATCTGTGACTCGTAATTTAGGTGAGGCCAGTGTGATAGAGTTTGTGGGTACATAAAGATCTGGCTATGCCATATGCTGGTTAGCATAGCTCTGAGGAAAGGGGCGTGCCTCCGAAATGCGTCAGCTCACCAGCTCAGCAGTGTTGCATGTCGAAACGCGATTCCAAAATGCTGTGGCATCTTGTGGTTTTAATGTGATTTTATTCTCCACTTTTGTGACTATTCATTTGGCATCAATTTTGTTTTATGAACAATAAATCGCTGGTAATGCACTAGGCGTTTGCACCCCCCTGTTTGTTCTTTTTGTAGTTGCTACG